CCAGCAAGTTTGAGGGTTGCTCTCACCTTTTGTCTCTGGGTGACTCTGTTTTGCCTCCGTCTGCTGCCTGTGGGGTCGGTGACACCTTCGACCCGGAGTCCTGCGAGTTTGGTTGCTCATTGTGGCTCGGTTACCCAGTTGTGCTAACAAAGCGGGTGCGGGCAGCAGGGGCGTTGCACTTGAGCCTTGGTGGTGGCAACGTTCTCGTGGTTTCCTCCCCGGGAGCCCCGGGGCTGCCCCGTTGTAGTTCGTTTTGGGACTTGGGGGTGTTGGTTGCTTCGGTTCCATCCACGCCCCCTTGTCTTTCCCCTGGTTCACCCTTCCTGCCTGCATCCGGTTCCTTACCGTCTGTAGGTTCGGGGCGGGGTTTTTGGTGGTGTTGAGACTCGGGCAGTCTCGGGGAATTCCCCTTCCGGGGTAGTGACGGGGGCAATTTGGGCCTGTTCCTCCAGCCGTGTTGTATGAGTCTGCCAGTGGGCTTCCTTCCTTAGTGTTTTCACGGCTGCCCCGGTTTTCTGGTACGGCCGGGGCTTTGGGGTAACGGCTCGGCCCCGGGGCCTGTCGTGTAGGTTCCTGGGGCTGGGGAGGGGCTGACTTGGGGGGGCCTTGGCCCCGTTAGGCCCTGTGGGGGTTTTTATCCCCCTCTAGGTGGGGCTTGTGGTTACGCGGAGTGGGGTCTTTTCTCCCCACTCGCCGTACGTGCTGTTGGACGTCGGCCCCTCCCCGGGCTCGGTTCCTTGGCCTTTGAGTCGGTTGGTTCCGTCCTGTGGGTGGATGTTTCCTCCCTCCCCCCTTTTTGGGACGGTGTTTTTGTCATGTTCCCCCGTTCGATGGGGTTCTGCGTGACTTCTGATCTCGGGTGCGCCTGCGCCTTCGTGTGCCTTCGGGACTAGCGTTGGCTTCTGTGTTCTCGAGGGTACGGGAAGGTTTTTCGCTACTTCCCGCATTATTGGAACGTCTGTCGGCTCCTCGTACTTGTCGCCCTGTTGGGCTACTTGTCGCCCGGTTGGGCTACTTGTCGCCCGGTTGGGCTACTTGTCGCCCGGTTGGGTTCCTTTTTGGGCTCTTTGCTTCTTTGGCCGGTTTTCTTGTTCCTGCTTCCTCTTTTGGCTCATTTTCTCGTGCAGTAGTCCTGGCTGGCACCTTCCCGCAGGGAGGGTGTGCGGTTCGGCCAGCGTGTTATGCGCATGCGCCATGGAGTTTGTTTTGGTCTGGGCGGTGTTTCAGTGCTGGGGTTTAGCGCCCTTTTTTGCTACAGTGCTACGCCTCTCGTTCTTCTCCCTGGCTGCGGTATGTGCCCCTTCGCGCCGGGGGTGTCCTGGTTCTCAGTTGTGGGGAGGACACCGCGGTTTTCCCTGTGTCATGGGTGTGGACCGCCTCCTTCGCCTCTCCGTTCTCCTGCGGGTCCGGCTCTGGCGTCTTCACCTGGCGGTGCTCCCAAGTTCTTCTGGGCACGGTTGAGTCGTGTCAAGTTTGTGCCACCATTCGCCAGGTGAGTTTCTGCGGTCTGGCGTCTTTTGGCCGGGCGCTGGATGCGGCAGCGTTTATATACCTGTCTTTATTTAGGTATATTTTGTACGACAGACCGTTCGCACACCAGTGACTGTCCCTTTATCACCCCTTCCTGTCCCCCTCATGTGCATGTCCAACCCATGCTGGAGTCATTCAGGGGACCCTCCCTTTTTAATGTTGTGAGGTGTGGGGGTTGTAGGATTGGTTCTGTACTCACCTGGTAAGGCTCCTGGCTGTGCTTGCAGGATTTGAGCTCTGGCTCTTGGGTCCCGCCTATCTGGTAGAACTTGCGGGATAGTACCAGTGGAGTGCAGTGGTGCTGTTGGCACTTTTGGGGAACACTGTATTACCATCAGTGGTCTGTGCTTGTTACACGACCTACTTGCGAGCATAAGCCTTCTTGCTGGTTCGTCCGTGGACTTCCAGGGCGCACTGGCCTGTTTTCGTATGGCAGTTCCGGCCCGTCCTGGTTGTGGGGATATGTGGGCCGGTGGACTCCTCCTTGCAGCTGCCTGGTGGGCCATCCTCTGGCCGGTCTGGCCTGACCTTGGGCCGGGCTTCAGGTGTAAAAGAGCTCCCAGTACCTCATCCAGCAGGTATCGAGCGGGGTTTCTCCGCCGTCGGTCGCCTGGTGCAGGTTTCTGGGCCTGCAGGGTTTTGTCGTGTCTCCGTTGGCCCTGTCTGGGGTCGGCCTGCTCCGTTCTCTGCCTTTGCAGAGGGGAGTTGCTATTTACATGTTGCAGTGGTGCCTGTTGCGGCTGCTGCACGTGTGCATTGGTACCATGTTTCACGGTGGCGTGTCCTTGTTCCTGTGTCCGGTTGTGGAGTGGCACTTTGCTGCCGTTTTGTGCCTGGGGATTGCGTGGGGTTTTTGTCCCTGCCTGATTGTCCACCCCTGGTTGTTCTCCTGGGTTTTTTGTGCTTCTGCTCTTTCTTCCTGCCTCCTCTGCAGCAGGGATGTTCTGCGTGTGTTCTTAGGCATTGGTCAGCCTGTGTCCAGTGATGTGCTTCTTTGTCTCGGTCTATTGCAGTTGTTCGTGCCCCTTGGTTCGGGTCCTGTTCTGGCGGCGACCCTTCCGCCTTCTTTGGTTTTCCTAGCTTGCCCTGCCGGTTGTTTTTTTTGGGGGGGGTCTTGCGATGTCTCGCGTCGGACCCGTCGTTTCTGAACTCCTGGCGGGCTTGCATGCTTTGGGGAGTTTTTCTGTTTGGCAGACGTTCCATCTCCTTGTGCCGCCTGGGTTTCGGTGGTCGCGCCCGAGATCTTCTCGCGGCTCCGCCTTTTCCTGGGCTCGGGGGGGGGGGGGGGCCTTGTCGGGGCTGCTTATGTTCTGCCTCGTGGTCTCGCCTCCGATTGGTGGTCGGGTGGCTTCGTGGTAGGTGTCCCACCTGCGTGCTTCTCTTGGCGGCAGTATGGGGTATTTTGGCGGTCCTTCCTTTTCCTGTCCCTTCTTAGGTGGTTACTCTTGTTTGCTTGGTTTACTCTCGGCTTGGTTTTCTAATGGGGGTTGGGGGCCGTCGTCTTGCCACATACTGTCGCCTCTTTTCGTGCGGCGCAGGCGGAGTCGCTTCAGCTTGCTTTCGGTCTTGGTGTTGCTTCTGCACCGTTAGTCAGCTGTCTTGTGCGTCGTTTCACCTCCGGCCTGTTCGTGCGCCGCTTGCACCATCCTGGTCTCTGGTCAGCGTGCTCTGTCTTCTCCTCGGTTGGTAGTGCCCCTTCGGTTCCGGTGTGTTTTTTCGTCAGCTCTTTCCTTTGGGCCTTTGCCTCTGGGGGTCGAGTCGCTGAGTTTTCTTGCTCCTTCGGTTTTAGCGTTTTGGTTGTTTGATGGCAGCAGTCTCCATCTTTTCTGGCGCGGGGTGGGGCTGCTGCATTCTGGAGGGGTCCAGGGTTTGTTGGTGCTTCGTTGGTCGGGCCGGGGGTGTGTCGTTTTTGTGTTCAGTGGCGGCCCTCCGCTGTTGTTTGCTTGCCACGGCGTTTGGGTCCGGAGCGCGTTTTGCGTTGATCCGGTTCTGTTCTTCCCGGTTCGCGGGTGATAGTGTCCCGGGTGGTCAGCCGTGTTCTTGCGGCTAAGCTGCCTGTGTTCTTCCTTCATGCCTGTGGCGTTCGTGGCTTTGCTGCTCTCGCTGCCGTCTGGGCGACGTGGCCTTGCAGTCTTTCGGGCATGGATTTTTGGTGTTCGTGCAGGGGCCTTGCTGCTCGTGGTTCTAGTGTTGTTCCCGGGATTTTCGGGGCTGTGGCGCCTTGGGTTGGCGTTTGCTGCCGGTTGTCTCGCCTCCTTGGGGGGTGCGTGGTGTCCGCCTCCCGGTTTTGTCCCTTTAGACCTTCCTCTGTGGGTAGTTAGCTCCGGGGAGCCGACGGGGCTCCCCCCAGAAAACCAGTGTTGAATGTAATGAAACGCCATTTTCTGGGTGAGACCCGGAGGCTCCCCGGCAACCCTCCCTCCCTCCGATCGGCGTTTTTCGCGTGTTTTGACATCCAGCCTCAGAACTGATGGGTGGATAGCCGGCGTGGGAGGTCTGGGGCTCCCCCTTCCCCCTCCCGGGGAGGGGGGAGCTGCGCAGACAGCGGCGCGGTGACGTATGACGTCATACTAGTTTCCTTGTTTTCTGTTGAAGAGTTCTATTCACTAGTTCGGCTTAGGTAGCAAATTTCACCAGAATAGGGGTTTGTTTTGGAATGCTTACCTTTCTGGATGCTTGACCCGGTCGATGGCAGACATAGAATGCTTCCAACCACACGGGGGTTTCTATAGGCCATTGCTCCCCTTGCCTCTCTGAGGGGGCCAGGTTCTGGCTCGTGGTCCCCGGTAGGCCCTAGAACTCCATACACATGACTGATGCCAAAGTCTGACATTAGCATATCAGCCGGTAAAGCTCCGGGGAGCCTCCGGGTCTCACCCAGAAAATGGCGTTTCATTACATTCAACGCTGGTTTTTTGAGTGCAGGTACAGTGTAGGAAATAGCCAGCTGTGGTCTGTTTTGTTTTGCTGACTTTGTGGGTGCCTTCCCAGGTGGTGGCACATACAAAATAGATGCCACTGCTCCGTGCATCTCTGTGAAGGGGCCAGGTTCTGGCCCGTGGTCCCCAGTAGGCCAGAGAACCCCATGACAGATGGCACCTGCTAGGCATTACACACATTAGAGGTGTTAGCTACAGGGAGCCAGCAGGGCTCCCTCCAGAAATTGGCATTTCATTACATTCACTGCTGGTTTTTGGATACTTTTCCGATGCTGGTGATCATACCCATCCACAGCTCTTTGGAATCCATGGATCTCCCTCATGGGAAAATTATGAGGGGGGGCCAGGTGCATGGTTCTGGTTTCCAGGCCAACCAGGACTCTTACGACCCAGAGGTGGGAAGTCATCATGGCGAGACAGCTTTAGAGAGCCACGGGGGCTCTACCAGAAAGAAGCCTTTCATTATATAAAATGCTTGTATATTTTTTCTTTCAAAAAATTATTCAGTACTGTACTGTTAATCTTTTTCAGATTTGTGTGACCAAGTATATAGAGACTATGGCACACCTAAGATCAGTGACAAGGGCATTGTCATCTGCCCGTACTGCTGCCTGTTTAGGTGAGAATGGCTGTAGGTGATAGTTTACTGTGTATATACTGCATTTTTAAATGTTTTCTAATGTAAATTGGGAGACAAATTATACTTTGGTTTCAATCCAGTGAATATACTGGGTATTGTATGTTTGCAAGAAAATTATAATTTATGCATTTGAAAAGCACTTGTGCTAATTATTGAAACATTTTTGTACAAATAAATTTTGAACTGTAATTATATACTTTGATACTTTAAAACTTTCACTTTTCTTAATTAAGCATTTATAATTTTGCCTCATTGTGCGTGCCAAGTATTCAAACAAATTTGTTTTGGATTTGGTATTGCAAGGTTATGTTAAATAGATAATGTGAATTGCCATATCTTAAACTTTCAACATCTGTTAAATAAAAGTAATGAATCATTTCTTCTGACCAGGATCTACTGTAAATCCTTCGAGAATCTCTTGCATTAGGTCACCAAAATTGGATGCTAAAGATGATTTGTGTGCACATTTTCGACACCTAGTAATATCTCCTGATGAGGCCTCTTTGTCTGCAACTTTTATGATGTCAATCAGCTTGCCTGTAGAATACAGGTAAGGTTTTGAGAAGTAAAGGTTTTATAATAATAATGACCAAACCGCACACCAAAAGACAAAGAGACGACGTTTCGGTCCATCCTGGAACAATATCAAGTCAATTGTGATTCACAATCGACTTGATAACGGTCCTCGACGGACCGAAACATCGTCGTCTCTTCGTCTTCCGTTGTGTGGTTTGGTCATCATATCTTCACCCACGTTATTGTGACTCATTGTATGCATTTTATAATATGTTAACTTACAAAAGCAATCTCAATATGTACAAACTTGCTGCATACATCTGAATGTCTTTTTCTGTTGATCAACCACTTGGGCTGGATGGCAGAGTGACGGCTGTGCATCATGAATGTCAGCTTTCAATCCCTGACCGTCCAAGCTCCATTACTTTCCCCCGTCCCATTCCAAATCCTTATCCTGATCCTTTCTAAGTGCTTTATAGTCATAATAGTTTGGTGCTTTTTCCTGATAATTACCCTCCCTTCTATCGTTGAATACTTAAATAATAAATATAGCAAATATATTTCCTTTTAATGTCTTGGCAGCGATGTGGTTGAGATTTTATAGGGAAGTCTTCCTTCGGTGGCTCACTGAGCTACTTGCCTACTTCAAGCATTCCACCAGGCCCCTTGAGCCGCCAGCATGTACCTGAGTCCAGGGGCCAGAATCTGGCCCCTCGGTAAAGGCACAGACATCTGGGGATACAAGATCATCTTGTGTCAAAAGAATAAGCTACAAGGAGCTTATTCTTGTTCTAAGAATAGGAAGGCAGAGCACCCCAAAACTAGCAACTGCATGGAAGACATTGGTAACCCTGACCCACACTATGTAACGGTTCTATTGTTACGTAAAGTATGGTGACAATAAACAGACACTAAGATACTATATATATATTTGGTCGAATATACAGAAGTACACAGGAGATACTTTGGTGTGAGTTGAGCGCACTGAGCGTCGGTAAAGTATCTCGCAAGTGTCTGCTCTAGACCACATTTGAAAGTAGTCTACTTTCAAGTAGACTACTCTAGTAGTAGACTACTCAAGTACACTTTATATATATAAATATATATATATATATATATATATATATATATATATATATATATATATATATATATATATATATATATATATATATATATATATATATATATATATAATACATACACACACATACATACATACATACATACACACACACACATACATACATACATACATACATACATACATACATACATACATACATACATACATACATACCTGGGTGTTAGTCAGCTGTCATGGGCTGCTTCCTTGGGGTGGAGGCCTGGTCGAGGACCAGGCCGCGGGGACACTGAAAAGCCCCTAAATCATCTAAAGATAAAGAAGATATCTAAAGATAACATTGATACCAAAATGAAAGACCTAGGACCAAAATTGAGGTAACAAAGTTGAAAACATAAGAACAAAAGAACAAGGTAACTGCAGAAGGCCTATTGGCCCATACAAAGCAGCTCCTATCTATAACCACCCAATCCCACTCATAAACATGTAACCCACACTTGAAACAATCGAGGGACCCCACCTCCACCACGTTACGCGGTAATTGGTTCCACAAATCAACAACCCCGTTACCGAACCAGTATTTACCCAAGTCTTTCCTAAATCTAAACTTATCCAATTTATACTCATTGTTTCGTGTTCTGTCCTGTGTTGATACTTTTAATACCCTATTAATATCCCCTTTGTTATGTCCATTCATCCACTTGTAAACCTCTGTCATGTCACCCCTAACTCTTCGCCTTTCCAGTGAATGCAAGTTAAGCTTTGTTAATCTTTCTTCATATGAAAGATTTCTAATTTCAGGAATTAACTTAGTCATCCTACGCTGGACACGTTCAAGTGAATTTATATTCATTCTATAGTATGGCGACCAAAACTGAACTGCATAAAGAAAGAGCATAAAGAAAACTACATAAAGAAAAGAGCAAACCTATTTTATTGCTCTTTATTAGCGCTCACTGGGGTAACGCTCTGTCAATTTCTTTGTTTGCTGTGGATGGTACACCGGGCTTTTGGACTTCACATGTATTTAATCGTGTAGGGAATTCTACTGTGAACACAATACCAAGATGAAAGACCTAGGACGTGAACTGAGATGTCCAATGTGAAGAGAGTGTACACATTTTATTTCTCTTTAGCGCTCCCGGGTAACTTGCTCTCACTTTCTCGCCGTTCTTTTGGGCTTTACATGCACATACACCTGTAGGGAATTTCATTGCGAATTAATTGATACCAAAATGAAAGACCTAGGACCAGAATTGAGGTAACAAAGTTGAAAAGAGCAAACCCATTTTATTGCTCTTTATTAGCGCTCACTGGGGTAACGCGCTGTCACTTTCTCTGTTTGCTGTGGGTGGTACGCCGTGCTTTTGGTCTTTATATATGCATGTGCTCCTGTAGAGAATCTATTGCGAACACAATGATGTAAAAATGAAAGAACAAAGACGAGAATTGAGGTGACCAAAGTGAAAAGAGTGTACACATTTCATTGCTCCTTAACGCTCCCGGGTAACTTGCTCTCAATTTCTTTGTTTTGTGCGGGTGGTACGCCGGGCTTTTGGACTTCATTTGCATTTAATTGTGTGGAGAATTCTATTGCGAACACATTGATATCAAATTGGAAAACCTAGGATGAGAATTAAGGTGACAAAGTTGAAAAGAGTATACACTTTTCAGTATTGCCGTGCGCTCCAGCGGAATGTCCAAAACAACTAGGGTAGGAGAAATGCTTGCTCCCCCAAAGCGTCAAAGTGTTAAGATAAAGAAATTAACACTTTTGCCCTTTAATGATGCAGTATGGCGTAAAAAATTTAGTAGACGAATGTGGGGTAATGGCACAGTATGGAGTCAAAACTATAAAAATTTGGCCTGCTTTCGGCTTGGCTGCGGGAGGGGCGCACCTCGGTTTTGGACATTATATGCATATACTCCTGTAGGGAATTTCATTGCGAACACATTGGCACCAAAATGAAAGACCTAGGACAAGAATTAAGGTGACAAAGTTGAAAAGAGAATATGCATTTTATTGCTCTTGAGCACTTAAAGGAGTAAATGAACAGTCACAACAACCAAGAAATGAATTGATTACAACCAATCTTGAGAAAGAAGTGGATGCATGGATTGAGTATGACATGTTCCTACTGCACCAAGCATATCTGATGATATCATTAATTTGGCGACAGAAAATATCCAGATGAATTTGCAGGATTCAGAAGATTCATCGGAGGAGGATGAGGAAGGCAGAGCAAGCATGGCAGAGGTACAAAAGAGCTTTGAAACCATTTTAAAGTTTATTTAGAGAAGATTTGATGTCAATCCTCAGAGTCTGATGGCATTTTATAAATTTTACACTGTTTAAATAAATGGAAAGATATGGCTTGAAGCAATTAATACTTAAGAGACTTTTAAGAGGGCTTCCAAGAGATCTCAGACTGAAGCTTCTTTTGTTCCTCTTCTATGTAACCCTCAACTGAGATGTTGAGGTACACTGTTGATGTCGATGTCAACCAAGATGTTGAGTGCACCTCGCAGTTGGGCCCGGGGTGTACAGAAGGGAGGATGTTGAGTGTATGTGTGTGACTAATATGTGCACCATATTTTCGAGCATATTGGTGTTCCATATATTTGATTACATAAATTTCTCAAATTACACTTGAATAATATTACAGCAAAAACAGACAAAAAACAATTGACATTGAAATACTCATGACATATATTTGTGGCAACTACTGCCCCACAGGGGCAGCATGAAACACTTTCATGAGCATGGGTTTTTGTCATATTTTCTAGACTTCCATCGGTGGTGAAGCCTGTGAACATCACTTTTCCATCATTACACAGTGGAGTATTATTGGAGAAGGATCTTCCACCTATTCCAAATATTACAGAAAAAATTGATCCAATTGCGAAGAGGCAAATAAAAGAAGCACCACCAAACCAGGTGAGTGGAAGTGGGCTGTTGTTCTGCAGGAGAGTTCATGTGACATTCTTTCCAGTGTTAGTCTATTTGGTGAATGTAGCTGGTAAATTTTTTACCTTGCTTAAATTTAATGGTAACTTTAGTAATACAATCTCTCACAACAGCTTTTCTGTGGGGAGCTCTGTCGGCTCCCTGAAGCTAGCTTACTGATTCAGTGCGACACTACTTGGAGTCATTAGTTGCAGAGTTCTTGTATGCCAACTGGGGACCACGAGCCAGAGCTTAGCCCCCTCACAGAGGCGCAGGGAGCAATGGCTCATGAACACTGTACATTTAAAGTTTATCATCTTTCCATCAACCAGGGGGAGCACCCAGAAAGGTAGGCAAATCAAAAGATTCGCCTACCTTTCGGCATGGTTGCAAAATGTGACCTATATCCTCATATTATCAAAAGAACTTCACCACCCTTTGTGTCCAGCATTTTAAGGAGATGGAGAACTTCAGCCTGCTGTATAACCGCTTCAGTCATCCTAGACACAGTGCTTGGGGCAAGATGTGGAGGCTAACATTAAGGATCAGGGACTTGCATCTTGGCAGCAAAGTGATTAGCCAATAGATCAACCTTCTGATTGCTGGTTTCAACAGTTCCATCCTCCTGGTTTAGAGGCAGGATTGCCTCTAAAGATGAATATCCCTGCCGATCTTTCACCAATTACTGTACTACCAGACCTTGGATCCAACCCTTCCAGATGCAAGTTTTCTTTGCGTTTCGGATTCCCATCTGGATATACAGTAGCCCACTTTTGAACTTTTCATTATTCGACAAGATTGTCTATGAATTTTTCTGTTATGAGCCAAGGGATGCCTTGTAAGTCTCCTCCAGGCCTTGCTTTTGGCCTCGGCTGCCATTCGGCAGTGATGTCCAAACCAAAGCCGATCTATAAATATTATAGCTTCCCCCTCTCCCGGGGGGGTGGGGCCACGCGATGGCGTGGTATGATGTTAGTTTGTTTTCTTGGGAATTGAGGGAATTTTACCCCTCTGTTGGGCTTTTTGTTTGCATTTTTCTTATCTTGTGGGTTCTGTTTTGTTACACTTACCTTTCTTGTCCCTAACCCCAGTTGATGGCAGATAAGGTAAACCCCTGACCACAGGGGGATTTTCCAGGGCCATTGCTTCCTGCACCTCTGACAGGTTCTGGCTTGTGGGTCTCGGTAGACAGAACTCCAGTGACTAATGCCCTGGTCTAATGTATTGCATATTAACCCAATAGCTCCAGGGAGCCAATGGGGCTCCCCACAGAAAAGTAAACTACAGAACTTTCCTGGAATGTTTTTTTTTCCATATAGCACTGTATAGCATGAAGTTTAATGTTTATGAATTCACATGACTTGTTATATTCTAATGCATTATTTGCCTCTGGCAAGAGCTGGCTGTATAATGTTTGGAAAGGCATAGCATACTGTACTGTATGATTTTAAGAAACTTATGTTTGCAGATTGTTATAGCTTACATACATACTTTTAATTTTTTTTTACCGAACTACTTGGGCTGGATGGTAGAGTGACGGTCTCGCTTCGTGCAGTTTGGCGTTCAATCCCCAACCGTCCAAGTGGTTGGGCACCATTCCTTTCCCCCATCCCACCCCAAATCATTATCTGACCTTTTCCAAGTGATATATAGTTGTAATGGCTGGGCACTTTCTCTTGATAGTGCCCTTCCCCTTTAAAGCAATAAATTCTAGTTCTGAAGTTATTGGTTGCAGGTGACTGAGAAGCAAGCTGCTCGGTTAATTGTAATTAGAAGGCAAAAAATGAAGAAACACAAGCTGAGAAAGCTACGCAAGAAGATGAAGTTTGTGTATCTGAAGGCTAGGCAGAAGAGAGAATACAAGAAGGAAAAACTTTTCCAGGTATTGTTAATATGTACTACCCGCTGGTCATTTATATCCTCCTCTTTCTTGATATATTTTGTGCAGCCTTTACTCATTTTATTTAAATAAAAGTGGAATGCAAAATACTGAGTGAAGACAATTTATATAACTGATAATGAGTGACATCTATCTATACAGTGGCACCTCAACTTACGACTGCCCCTACTTACGAATTTTTTGAGTTACGACATGAATTTGGTCGGAAAATGCGACGGTAGCTTGACTTACGAACTTTGCCTCGACTAGCGACTTTGTTGATACGCGTATGGGTCAACCGATCATGTGGTTCCTGGTGGCACGGCCGACCCCCGCCTCAGTTTTCCACAGCCGCCTGCTTAGTGATGATCGTGCTTGTAAAGAATTTCATTATTTTTGGGTTTTTTATTTTTTGAACATAAGTCATTATTATATATCACACCATGGGTCCCAAGAAAGTCAGTGATAAGGTTCAACCTAAGAAAACACATGTGAGGATATCTTGAGGTTATCTTGAGGTTATCTTGAGGTTATCTTGAGATGATTTAGGGGCTTTTTAGTGTCCCCGCGCCCCGGTCCTCGACCAGGCCTCCACCCCCCAGGAAGCAGCCCGTGACAGCTGACTAACACCCAGGTACCTATTTTACTGCTAGGTAACAGGGGCATAGGGTGAAAGAAACTCTGTCCATTGTTTCTCGCCGGCGCTTGGGATCGAACCCGGGACCACAGGATCACAAGCCCAGCGTGCTGTCCGCTCGGCCGACCGGCTCCCTGACCATAGTGGAAAAACAAATCATTTGTAAACATGACAATGGTATGAGGATTGTCGATGTAGAGTAGAGGATGTTCCTTTCTCATTAAGAAAATGCGTGCAGTATGGGAAGAATTGCCATATTCACTTTTCAAGTTTTGCTGAAAAGTGTCACCCAAATCAAGCTGTAGCAAATCGTCGTGTTAATTTTTTTAACAACAATGTGATGTCTCACTTCAGACAAGTGTTACAATGTAGGGAAAAAAGAGTGTCGCTAGACAGGTTTTTAGTGAGAAAAGAAGCAGTGAGCCACAAGCAGGTCCTAGTGGTATGCAGGCAAAACATAGGAGAGAGAACCCCAGAAAAGAATTTATCAAGAAAGTCATCATTGCCTGATGATATAATGGAAGGGGACTTCCCTTCCAAACACTAACACCTCTCCTTCTTCCCTTCTCACCGTCTTCCATATGCCAACAAGAGTCCTCATTCAAGGTAAGATATACATACAGTACTGTATTGTAGCTAGTACAAAATAAGTGTTATTCGGTATAAAATGTATTTTTAAGTTAATATTTTTGGGGTGTGTGGAACGGATTAATTCAATTTACATTATTTCTTATGGGAAAATTCGTCTTGACTTAAAAATTGTTGACTTACAACCCATCTCTGGGAAGGAATTAAATTCACAAGTTGAGGCCCCGCTGTATCTGTGAAAAAGGGTACAGTCATATTGTACACAAGACTGTTCAACAAAACTTGTTTTCTGATTGTCAAAACCATATACCTGTATATTGTTGGGATACGGTGTATTAACTTGGGCTGTGTTACTCAGTTGGATTGGAGGAACCTGACAGCTGAGTGGACAGCGCTCAGGATTTATAGTCCTGAGGTTTCGTGTTCGATCCCCAGTGGAGGCGGAAACAAATGGGCAGAGTTTCTTTCACCCGGATGCCCCTGTTACCTAGCAGTAAATAGGGACTTGGTAGTTAGACAGCTGCTATGGGCTGCTTCCTGGGGTTGTGTAACAAAAAGGACGCCTGGTCGAGGACCGGGCCACGGGTACGCTAAGCCCCAAAATAATCTCAAGATAACCTTAAGGTCTGGTAGGTTTTAAAATCCATTAGCGAATCATCTTGTATACGATGTCCCCCCTCAAGAATGTCGCCTTGTTGTGGTAAGGGGCCTCGCATACAACTCCCTGGGGTAAGCGGGGGTTTGCCCCTGCTCCCTCTCCAGGTGCCAAACAGGCAAATGTATGCTAACATAGGGATCTTGTTCAGGTCAGTGGGCCACCTGTTGGAAGGGTCACTTGTGAGGGTCACCTCCATTGCCCTTGGAGGATGGTTGGGTGTCCTGGCTGCAGTGAGGGAGGAAGAGGTCTTTACACCAGTGTGGGAGAATGTATGGAGCAGTAGGACTCCTGCCTCCCCCTGTTAACCCTGTTAACCCTTGGACAGCAGCTATGTAGAAACGATCATAACTGCCTATGCACAAAAAATAAAGCTATTATAGAAATATTAATTTGTATGCAAAATGTAAGAAAACAAAAATAAGTAAATATTTATAGTTTCACTGGGTGGAGGTGCTCTGCAAGGCTGCGTCTGGCACTTGTTAATGCCTGGTGCTCAACTTTTGCTGATTCTTCCTGTTTTATTTTCAAATGTTTCACTAATTGTTTTATCACTTGTTTTTCTTTATTTACATGTACTGTAACCCCGCGATTATCCGGGATTCGAACATCCGAAAAACGCCCTTATACGGCCAAAATCGTGAACGGATAAAGTTATCACAATATCCGGCCAAAATAGCCACAGGGACCGGATTAAAGCAGGTTTTCTGCAGAAATTACACTATCCGGTCAGTCCCCCAGATAACCGTGCCTTTGTCCGTATATGAAAACATGAGGCAGGCCATACGGTATTAATCCCGTCTGCCCGAGACTCGAGGCGCATGGTGTAGGTGGGGGTGAGGTGGGTGGGTGGTGTTGGGAGGGTGGGAGGGGTGCGTCAGGAGGGACTACCTGGGTACAGGAATTACCATTAATTTTAGAACAATTAATCATAGCCAAAAACAAATAAAATAACTACTAGTAATTATGTAATAACAAATAAATAAGTTTCCTAAAAGCATTGTGCACAGGCTGAAGTTTCCTTAAAAAATATTGTGAATTTTTTTCCACCTGGCGGCCTACGTAACGCTATGGCTGCCCCAAGTGGACCTGTCCAACACTGGTCAACCCATGTGCGTCCGTCCCTCGTGTTATACACAGTGCTGCGCCATTAGTGAAATATTTTTTTAAATAACTTTCTTAATTTTCATAGTAATTTTGAACATTTTTGGCCAAGAATATGTCTGGTAGCAGCATCAATCGTTCTGGAAGTGTTAAGAGGAAGAAGATTGTCCTAGCAATTAAAGACAAGTTACGTGTTGTTCAACCAGTGAGGCGTCACAGGCAACCAAGCGCCTTCAACAAGTGAGGCGCCACAGGCAAGCCAAGCTCCTTCAACAAGTCAGGCATTATAGGCAAGCCAAGCGCTTTCAACAAGTGAGGCGCCACAGGCAAGCCAAGCGCTTTCAACAAGTGAGGCATAAGCAAGCGCCTTTAACAAGTGAGGCGTCACAGGCAAGCCAAGCGCCTTCAACAAGTGAGGGCATGCAAGCGCTTCAACAAGTGAGGTGCAAGCAAGCGCCTTCAACAAGTGAGGCCTCACAGGCAACCCAAATGCCTTTAACCAGTAAGGTTTCAGCAGCTGGCAGTCAAAACTAACTTAGCTTAATGAACTGTACAGTAATTTTAAGTGTTAATTTTAGTGTTGTGTTAGTATAGGTTACGTAAATTGTTAAGAATTTTTAACTTCAAGATGTGTGGCATCAATCAAGAAGACGAACACCAACAAGGTAAGTTGAGGTTTCTAGTTGAATATTTAATAATTGTATGTGGCAAGGCAATTCAAATTATGTTGTTTGTAGTATAAAAATAGTTGGAAATGGTCACTTTTGGACTCGTAGGTGAAAAAGTACCATTATCCGAAAAATGTGATAATCCGGCTGGGGGTCCTTCCCATATAGTCCGGATGATCGAGTGGAGACAGTACAGAGAGCTATTACATCCATACTTGCATCATGCATGTGAAACCCAGACAATAATTTTTGAACCATCATATGATTTACAATCCCTAGGGTACCTTAGGGAGCCGGTCGGCCGAGCGGACAGCACGCTGGACTTGTGATCCTGTGGTCCTGGGTTCGATCCCAGGCGCCAGCGAGAAACATTGGGCAGAGTTTCTTTCACCCTATGCCCCTGTTACCTAGCAGTAAAATAGGTACCTGGGTATTAGTCAGCTGTCACGGGCTGCTTCCTGGGGGTGGAGGCCTGGTTGAGGACCGGGCCGCGGGGACACTAAAAAGCCCCGAAATCATCTCGAGATAACCTCAAGAAGATAACCCTAGGGATTGTCAGATGATGATAATCACATCCTAATAGGGGCACAGCTTGGGAGATGCACCTCTTCCTGCACTGGGCAGTGCTCGGCTTCCCTTGTTACCCTGGTAGGTCATATCTCTTGGCTCTGGGACCCAAACTTTGAGTCGGTATGCTTTCCATACTGACTTCCTTTTGAAAAAGGAAGTCAGTATGGAAACCGACTTCCCTAAGTGACCAGGCCCCCCCGAGTCGGAAAGTGATGGAAGATCAGACTCCATAGGCATGGCTACCTTACCTTGAGGTTACCTTGAGGTGCTTCCGGGGCTTAGCGTCCCCGCCGCCCGGTCGTCGACCAGGCCTCCTGGCTGCTGGACTGATCAACCAGGCTGTTGGACGCGGCTGCTCGCAGCCTGACGTATGAGTCACAGCCTGGTTGATCAGGTATCCTTTGGAGGTGCTTATCCAGTTCTCTCTTGAACACTGTGAGGGGTCGGCCAGTTATGGCCCTTATGTGTAGTAGAAGAGTGTTGAACAATCTCGGGCCTCTGATGTTGATAGAGTTCTCTCTCAGAGTACCTGTTGCACCTCTGCTTTTCAACTGGGGTATTCTGCACATCCTGCCATGCCTTCTGGTCTCATGTGATGTTATTTCTGTGTGCAGGTTTAGGACCAGCCCCCTCAATTATTTTCCACGTATAGATTATTATGTATATCTCCCGCCTGCGCTCAAGGGAATACAGATTTAGGCTCTTTAGTCGGTCCCAATAGTTTAGATGTTTTACGGAGTATATTCTAGCAGTAAAGGATCTCTGCACGCTCTCCAGGTCA